GGTGCCTGGTCCTGCCCTGCGCTGCTGCTCCCGGTGCCCTGCGGTTTGTAAGCAATTCCCTGCTTCTCTCCTAGGCCTCCGGCACCCTGCACTCATGCCGCCTTTATTCAGACCTGCCGCCCCTTACGCTGGGGAGCATCCAGGGTGCCTGGTCCTGCCCTGCGCTGCTGCTCCCGGTGCCCTGCGGTTTGTAAGCAATTCCCTGCTTCTCTCCTAGGCCTCCGGCACCCTGCACTCATGCCGCCTTTATTCAGACCTGCCGCCCCTTACGCTGGGGAGCATCCAGGAGCGCGTCCTGTACGTCTTGAAACTGTACGATAAGGTCGATCCAGACAAGGTGAGACAGAGACACTTGTACCCACGTGGCCCATTTTCCAGTAGAGGGAGGGAAATAGTTAGAGTGGTAACAAGTGGAGTTCCTCTGGGCTGTCCCCAGCTGGCTGTTGCATGCCTTGCCAAAGGATACGGTCTGCAGCGTGGGGGGTGGCTAACACACGCAAACAGACATGCTGTAAAACATGAGTGGTGACAAGGTCCAGGAAGTTAAGGCCTGTGGGTTAATAAACCAGGTCAGCATCCGGGGGCTGTCAGGAAACAGGAAATTCTGTTTCTCTGAATAGTCACTGTCAATGGAAGCAGTTTTTCATCTCAGGAATGATAAGAGTCTGCTCAAGAGTCAAATTGCCCCTTCATCTGTTAGCGTTCTCTACACAAATTAGTTGGTTTTAAGTCATGAGTTGCTCCCATGGATGATACATACTGACTAGATAGCAGAGAAACTTCTAACTGTACAGCTGAAAAATGTCCTACAGAGGGACAGTAAAGGCCAAAATCCACCAGGTGTTGTAGCATCTCCAGGCTGTAAACTCCTAGCGGGGAAACATTCTGATATTCTTACTTTTCTTACACTAGTGAAATGGCTGCGATCAATTTTATTGTATTTTTGTTTGACTTTGCAAGCTCTCAGTAACTTCCCACTTCATGAAAGACCTGGGCTTGGACAGTTTAGACCAAGTGGAGATCATCATGGCCATGGAAGATGAATTTGGTAACTGAAGTTTCTGATGTCTGTTCCCTGCCCTTCCCAATGGAGAGGAAGGATTGTCCAAGGGTTAGAGGGCTATATTAGGACTTGGGAGAACTAGCTTTAATACCTGCTGTATCACCAGTTTGTGTCACCTTGGCAAGTTGCTTAGCCTCAGCCTCCGTTCCCATTTGTAAATGCCTCCTGGTGGTGTGTGAGGATAAATACCCTAAAGACTGGCATGCTCAGTGCTGTGGTAATGGGGGGTATGTAGGTACTTAAAAGAAAGATAGCTCTGCTGTTGTAACCTCCCTCAAAATGTGCTTACTGCAGATAAAATCTCAGTTCTTTTATTTCCATAAGCTCAATGGGAATATTTAGCGTTGACTTACTGCCCCGGGCCAAAGAAAGCTCTTTCACTGTCAGTGAGCAATGTAGCTCCTACTCAGGGATTTACAGCTCATCTTTGTGGCTTCTGCACCTGCTTGTCTGAAGTGTACATTAAGATTTTCATAGCTTCACCATAAAGCAGAGTGGTGCACTTTCAAATCCTCTCCTTAAGACCATCCCAGGGAATTAGCTGTAGTATGGCGTTGGCTAGAAGGCAACAGCATTCAAAGTAATGAAATGCAAATGACCACGCCAGACGTGTTATTTTGCATTGACTGCTGTCCAGTACAGCCACCATTCTCTTCTGTGTGCTCTGGATAGGAGAATTTTATTCGATTTCTCCAAGCTTAGCTGCTAAAACAGTTATTTAACCTCTATATCTGCTCCTGCTAAACCACCTATTGTGTCCCAGACCAAAACCAAAATGCTGAAATAGACATAAAGTAAGGCAAATTTGTGCCATGTGTGGTCAAAATTTGACATTTGTATTCAGTGCCTGTAAATCCCAATAGTTTAAAAACTGAACTGTAGTAGAACATACACACTTCAATTGGAAACGTTTTGACTTGCACATTGCCCAGATACAGTCAGTCTCTACACTGATTTGCATTTGATTGGAGGTTAAACTTGCAGCCAGCAGGACTAGAAATAGACAATCCAGAATTATCTAGAAAATGTAGTGGCCCCTTCTGCTATTTCAAGGCCCAATGGTCCCTAACTTGGTGAATTTTGTAGAAATAATAAAAGCTACTTGCTGTAACGACACTTGCTAGAAGGCTATCAAACTGATGCTTTGCATTCTCCCTTGCATGTAAGTGGGATGTAAACAGTTAACTGGTTACCTGGTAAGCATTAGGCTTACTGAGGTAACCAGATAACTGGGCCAGGTGCTGGGGGCCCAGACAGGGCAGCAAGTGGGGCCGTGGTGACCCTGGCAGCCCTCCGCTGGAGCAAGCGAGACCCTGGAAGGCAGGAACTGCTGTTTCTGCCTAACGCCTCTTACATAATGTTCTGCTGCTGGGCCTGGTACAGCGGGGTTTGAAATGCAGCATTCGTAATGAGAGATGCCAGATCAACGTCTGAGCTGCCGAACAGCAACCTCTGCATGTGTGTTGCCCCCCAAGCCAAGGCTCTGGCAATTGAGTTGTTATGCTTGTTTTCTTTGCTGTTGTCTCTCCTATTACAAGCTGAGCAGTACTCTGTCTTCCAGGGTTTGAAATTCCTGATGCAGAAGCAGAAAAGCTAATGTGTCCACAAGAGATTGTAGATTATATTGCAGATAAGAAGGATGCCCGCCCCACCCCTCCCCAGCAGCTGCAGAGAGCAGTAGCTGCTGGGCCTAGGGATTTCCCTGAATTTCCCCAACCTGCACCCCCCCACACACAGTTTTGTGAAATATGGTGCCATACAGCCCACCTTCACCCTCATGGTCTCACCCCTCATTGGCCCTTACCTCCCCCCCCATTTCAATTCCTGGGGAGGCTGCTGGGTAGCAGTAATGGCCAGGCAGTGCAAAACCATCAGGCAGTTGCTGGAGATGAGAAATCCCTTGTTTCTCGGCTGTATAATTGTAGTCAATGCCGTGATGCGGTCCAGATATTGAAATGGGACCTAGCACAGATTTTGTGGCAGGTGGCTAGTTGGCTGTGAAATGCACTTGTGGCCTCAGTCCAGTTTCCAGCTCTGCACCGCAGGGGAACATACCAGCACAAGCTGGTCCCCTTGTGGCAGTCCCCTTGTGGCAAGGACTGAAGGCCGTT